CCTTCCCCCACCCCCGGGGCATTGCTTGGGGTTGATTGTGGGGTGTGACCACCAACCAATAACTTAGCATTGTCGGTACAATCATTGTCACATGGGCAAAACTCATGTGTTTGCAAGCCGCAATGAATAATAATGGTCATATCCATTGTCCTCTGATTGAAGTGCACCACTATTCAAATGATGTCCAGTCCTCCCCTCCCAGCTAGGCCCCGCCCCTTCCTTTGCCACCAAATTCAGATTTTGATTTCTGCATGTATTTGCCTAAATTAAATTGTAAATACTAGATATCAATTTGAAAGTGAACCTTTTATGATCTACACCAACAGCCGTCTCACAGATAGCCCCTTCCCCTGCCACCCCCACTCCCAAAGCTCAAAAAAGAACCACGCCTTCCCCCCAACAAGTCAACAAGTACAATTTTGTTGAGATTACATACATGCATATGGCCTTGGGGAAAGTCTGAATTATGTAAGGTGGCTTTTTTACAACACGGGGCAGCTTAAAATATCCGAAAAGTGAGGAAAAGAAGGGGTGTGTATGTCGCGGGGTGGGTGGGGGGTGGGAAGGGTGATCTGGACACACGCATGTGCGCTGTACACATTTGTTTATATTGCAAGTTACTTTGGAATTACAGTAAAAGGTGTGGTGAACAAAATGACGTTTATTTTATTATTTTCAAAACGGAAAAGATTTAGAGAGCAACTAACTCTTATTTGTTTATATTGAAATACATGTACTTTAAAACAACGATCACTCCAGTGAAAGCTCCGAGAGAACACAGCATCAATTTGATTGCATGAATTTCACTCTGACTTGACTTGGCTATATACATGTAGTTAGGGTCTGAAGTATTTTTTTAGTGGAAGTGTTCTCCAAATTTGTATTTGCCTGATCAACATGAAATTTTGTGGCACCAAATACACTTATGTAGTGTGCTTATCATTACCATGGCAACCGTTGTAAAGACATCGGTGCTCATAAACTAAAGTCAAAAATACTTCCATTTTTCAAAGCCTATGACGGAAGTATTGTCCTATGACTGAAATTCATGGCTATATAATTAACAACAATACATGCTCAGTATGTAACGTGACCGCCATTGGTGCGAGAAGCGCATGTATTTTTCACCTTTCAATCTGTACCATTTTCTTTGTTTTGATGTACGTTTCTGATAGTTATTACATGAATCAATTGCAGAGCATTAAATAACATCACCACAATTGTGTATATTTACTTTAGTTTTGCCAATTCTGGTTGAAACCCCACACATTTTTGGAATAAAATCAAATAAAAAGAATGGAGAATAAAAGAGAGAATAAAATCAAATAAAAAGAATTATAAGTCCCTATGGCAGTGACAATGGATGCATTACAATTGCTTGACTGGGATGAATGTTTACACAAAAATACAGAAATTATGCCCATAATGTTATCTAGACAAGAGTTTGGAAAAATACATAAAAACACCTCTAGTGGTAACAGCAATAGAACCAAGAATGTCACATTATAGAGTAATGGTCAACCAATATTTTCCTGCCAAATCGGTTGTAGGAAAATCGGTCAAAGTATATGCAAATCAACATGGGATCACAGTGTGCTGTACCCCTCCCTTTCAGAAAAAAACCCCAAATACCCACCAGAAAGGGTTAAAATCTGTAAGCACTTGTGGTTCGGTGGGGAAATTGATTTTTGTTTATTAATTAACACATTAACAAAACATTCCCTGCTTGTATACAAAAAACCTGTAATTTATAAGCACCAATACATTTAGATTGCTTGCCATGTAACAATGGATGCACCACAGAAGTGTGGCCATGTTGACTGCTGATGACAGTTTGGAAGAGACTCAAAATGCCCTGCTGATTACGAAGTTACGATTTTGGAGGGCATAGCAGCACCCACAACGGTACTATATTCGACTTTATATAAGCTCGATCTGACCATATTTACCCGTTCAATTCAATCATTCAAAATAGAGGCCATTTTGAGTTTTCACTAGAGTGATAGTTGTTTTAAAGTACATGTATTTTAATATAAAAATATGAGTTATTTGCTTCGTAATCGCCATATCACTTCTCTGAATTGAAAATAATAAAATAAATGCAATTTTGTAAAAAAAAAAAATCAGCATTATGTACATGTACCATGTACATGTATCCATATTACAACCCCCCCCCCCCCGCCCCTGCGCTTTCCAGATATTCCAAACCACTCCCACGTTGACAAAAAAATAGCCAAACCTACATAGTGTATGTAAATATTTGGACTTTCCGCAAGGCAATATGTAACCTTAACAATAATACATATTCTGTACAATTCTTTGGGAGGGGGAGGGGTAGTTGCTCATAATGAGCACCGGAGTAGGAAGAGGGATGGCAGGGGGTGGGCTGTGAGACGGGTACGCCTGTTGGTGTAGATTATGAAAGCTTCACTTGCAAATTGATATTTATTTACAATATTAATTAAGGCAAATACATGCAGAAATCAAAATCTGAATTCGGTGGCAAAGGAAGGGGCGGGCCTAACTGGGAGGGGAGGACTGGACATCATTGGAATGATGGTGCACTTCAATCAGAGGACAATGGATATGTCCATTATTCATTGCGGCTTACAAACACATGAGTTTTGCCCATGTGACAATGATTGTACCGACAATGCCAAGTTATTGGTGGGTGGTCACACCCCACCCTCAACCCCAAGCAATGCTCCCGGGGTGGGGGAAGGGGAGGCTGTGAAAAGGATCTCTATGTTATTTCTAAAAAGTTCACTTGCATATTATTTATTTACATTTGCTTCGTTATGCAACATACAAGTTCAAAATTCGGTGGCACAGGGGGAGTGGGCGGGGCCTAGCCAGGTGTGGGGGGAAGTACACGACCTACTATTCATCCAATGGTCTAAAAATGATAAACAGTCTGATTCTGTTTGTAAAAATGTGCTATATTCATGTACAATACCAATTATACAAGTTTATTACCCAAAAAAAGGAAAACACTGAAAATACACTTTTTAAGGTTTTTGTGAAATTTACCATTTTTGGAGCGCTACTGCACAAAGGCTATACAATAACCCAACATTTTCTCACCAGATATGAAAAGAACAATGTCTGATCTAACTATAGCCGGAGGGAAATTATTCTGAGTGCCCTGGCAAGTGCCATTTTGAAGGGATAAAAATGGGGTAAAAAATGCAGTTTTGTTAGTTGTAAAAACATGCTATATTATAGGGTCTAAAAATAGTATAAAAGAGATTTTTCAGAAGTGTTTTTATTTTTTTCTTGTAAGGGTAAGGATGATACTTTGTCGTGATATAGTTACTTTTGTGACATTACTTTGCAGTTTGGCTGGATGACCTTTGAAAAAAACACGAAAAATGAATTTTTGCAGCCTCAAAATTGCCGAAAAATGGCCAAAACACATAATGGCCCGTAACCATGGCAACGGGCAAAATAAAAGTTTGAAAGTCTATTTTGGTTACTTGCTCCCTAAGTCCTTTCATCCCACAAAGTTTTAAAAAATTCGATTTTTTGAGCGTGGACACTTATATGAAGTATTTACACGAAATGACTCTTAAGAATTTGCATAGTCTGGCACTGAGCGTGCATGTGCAGATCGTATCCACAGCGCTCTACGTAGCACATCAATACAAAATGTGAATGCATCCCAACTGTACAGTTTTTAATTCAAAGTGCAAAGACAAACAATGCTAAAAAAAAAAGAAAAATACAATATGCAATGTTAAAAGGTCCAACAATGGGCAATACATTGGGTAGAAATTAACTTTATCAAGATGAACATTGTTTGAACAAACAGAACAAAGTTTGATCATCGTTGATGTACAGTCACATTAATGATCACTACAACTAAGCACACATACAAAGGACGTCTGTTGTTTCTTACTTAAATCATTGACCACCCCCCCCCAAAAAAAAAATGGACCGAGTACTGAACTACAAATTTAAAACAAAATCAAATTAAATCTAATTGTCTAGTAGAATTCTTTACTCTGACAAAATCAAGTTTCAAAAAAGTAAAGAAGAAAACTTAAACTTCTCTAAATTCAACAAGCATGCACTAAATTTTAAAAACTAAAACAATATTGTCAGCATACGTTTAGCATTTTACAAGAAATAAATACGCTGAGCTTAAAACATAAAAAAAATATACACTACAATGTACTTGGATTTGTGTATACTTTGCAGAGTTGTAATAAAACATGGAAAAAATGTTGTAACATGACGTCACTGTCGAGATTGTGTACAAAGTCTGGAGAGTCCAGAAAATTTTCTTAGTATTTCCTACAAAATTGGAAATGTTTCTCAGTCCCAGAGTCATGTCTTATCATCAGTTTTGCAAAGAATGACCTTTATTGAGATGATATATGAAGAAAAAAGTGGCGTCAGGTTGCAACATTTTCCCCTAAAACATTCCAGGTAATTTCCAAGTTCATAGTGTTTCCCAGGGAAAATCGCTCATACCTACTGTTCAGTCAAAATCAAAAGTTACTTCGGTTTGACTAAAAAACACATGAGAAGTTTTAAGGTTGTCGCTGACATATGCATGAATATTAGTATATTTATAGCCTTTCGTCAAGGTGCGCGTGGCTACCCAAACACATAGCGCCCCGGATTGCTGGCACGAAAAAAGACCAGTGCGAGTGGCGAAGCACTGGTCTTTTTACGTGCTAGCATCCAGGGCCCATGTGTCCGAGTAGCCACGCGCGCCTTGACTAAAGGCTAGTATTTATGCGGCCCATGCAATGTTTCTTTTTTAATGCATCCTTGAATATGCACCTTTGTGTCCCATTTTTATTGTCAATTTTCATTTTGCCACTTTCAAGGGTATTTTGGTGCCTTTTTGGTTTTTATGCTCATGCAAAGTTCCATGCTCATGAGCAAAAGTGTGATGTAATTTCAGGCAGAAGCCTCAATGTTACAGCTATTTCAGCCCCAAAACCTGCCAGAATTTTGGATATTTTGCCGTTGTAAATTTTCTTTTCTTTGGTGATTCGTTGTCGTGTCAGTACATGGCAGTAAGCCAACGAGCAAACTTTTCTCACAAATGTTTTCAATGAACAAATTTTTGGGGTTCACAATTTGAATAGAAAAAAAAAGAAAAGACGTTTTGGCAAATCTGCATATAAGTTGAACTCGTGCAAATTCACTTCAGATTTATGTAGGAGTGTGTAACGGCTTTGATTGTCGCAGCAAATTGAAATTGGACGGCAGTATGTTATATTACATATCCTTAAAATATAAAAAGATAGCAAACCAGCGTTTTTGTTTTCTGTAATATTTCAAGGTAGTTATCTTTTATAAAAAAAGTATTTTAAAAACTTTATGGTTTTGGCATAGAAAGCTTTCTTCAATATCACCTTTAGGAGAAAAACAATTTTGGCATAGTTTTGGTGTACGAAGCTTTCTCAGCTATCAATTTCAGTTGCATTTAACAAATAGAAAGATCATTTTGATATTGAACTTGGAAGGTATTTGTGACACTTGTCAGTTGTTTACAACATACTCATCCCCATACTTCTATGAAACAGACAATGTGGGTTGTTGACCTTTTCGTTTAACCGTAAATTCAGAGGCATTTTAGCAACTATGCGGGATCCCAATGCCGCAACCTTTGTAATAAAACTTTCTAGGGGAATCAAGTTCCATTTAAAGTAACAGTAGCTGAGCTCAAGGCTTCCTTAATCCTGCAAAATCATTTTGAAACCGCCTAGCAGATTTTGAAGGATCCAGGAGGATTAGAGTTAAAACATGAAATCAATTGGCCCTGCTGAAAACCTTCCCAAATCCTCCAAAATCAATGAACTCAATAGCAAATTCTTTGAACTGCATGTAGAAACTTTCACTGAGTACCAAGTCCCATGTAAAGTAATAGTGGCTGGGCGCTACCTTCCTCAATCCTGCAAAATCCATCACTCTCTACGAACCCCATGGCACACTTTTTGTAGCTACCAAGTTTTAAGGGGTATTAAGCCCAATGTTAAGTAACAGTGGCTGGGCTCTACCTTCCTAAATCCTACAAAATCTTTTCAAAACCTCATGGCGGATTTTGAAGGATCCGGGAGGGTTTTTAGGGTTAATTGTCTACCTCCATCCGACTATAGCCCAGTCGTTTCATGCTGTGTTTGCAGATGCGTTCGATATCTCGGATCTTGGTCAACGTCAGTTCCGATTTCCAGTTGTTGAGCTTGGACGGCAGGACGAGGCCTTCATGTGGGCTCTGGTAGATGCCAGTGTGTGCGGCCTGGACCAGCTGGTGTTCCATTGACGGCGGGAGGGGGAAACCTTGGGTATATATAGACATCCAGGAAAAAGACATTTGAGAGGAGCAAACGTGGGCAGCGTCAGAACTACTTTTAGCAACACACTTATCTATGGGAGGTCAACTCAGGATTCAGCCGCTTCCATCAATACTGCTTGCCGGAGCCAAGTAATTCAGACTTGGCCTTAGTTTCACAATTAGTACGCTGCCTCTGGTCAAGTCAATGCAAACAGCACCACCTATAGTCAGAGGGTTTTCAACCCCCTCCCCCCCCAAAAAAGTTCCCCATGCAACTTTTCCCAAATCTGGGAAAGAAAATGTTGCAGCTGAATTTCCTGTGAAAATGGACTACATGTATATATGAATACTTATATATGCAAAGTGAAAATGTGAAGCATTACTTTTAAGCATTATATCAGTCATGCCCTAACTTTCACACTATTCACTTGTAAGCAGACAGCGAGTAGACAGCGCCCTCTATCGGTCACATACAAAGCCTGGCGGATTTGTCCCCTAAACTCAGTTTTGTATCCGGTTGGATTCGTCTCTGTCTACAGAATAAGTCTCTAATTACAAATCCAATGGATTTAATGTAAATTTTCGCCTCGTTGTGACATCTGATTTTTCTAAAGCAGAACGCAGAGCTACTTCGAGCCAGAGTCCAACAACAATCCTGTAGCCAAAACTGGACACAAAACAGAAACGTTGGAGGACCCCCCCCAAAAAAAAATAAAAAAATAAAAAAAAAATAAAAAAAAAGAACCAAAAAACGGCCCTTACCAATAAACTTGTAGATGTTGTCAGCCATACTCCTGGGCGATCGCACCAAGTCTTCATATCTCACCACGCGATACTGGCCCCTCAGTCCCCCTACCGAGTCCAGCAACAGGTCCATGTAGGCTGCCCACAGTGTAGCCAATAACTTGTGAGGGGTGCCTTGCAGATCGTAGAAGTGTTCACTGTCCAAATTCTTGAACTGGCATGGGGTTTGGAGTTGCTGCGCTAGCACCTGGACGTGCTGAGCCACGTTTGCGGATGTGTACAACCGCTTATTGTCGCGGAGGAAGTTGGCCACCCAGGCGCGTGGGTCACGGACGACGTGGATGTTGCGCATGGTGTCTCCCAGAATCCCTTGCAGCCACTGGAGTTTCAGTCCCCAGCTCCCGCTGCCGAAGTGCAGCACGCTCTGAGCATTCGGGAATTTGGAAGCATGGGCCAACAAATCGACGGTCTGGTAAACTTTGTGGGTGATATCCCCCTTGCTGTCCGATGGCGTGTCTACCAATTCTATTCTTCTCATTGTGAAATGTTTAGACGGATCAGTTTGTTTACTATTTATATCCGGCTGATGAAGTAATTCACTTGACTCAAAATTCTTCACAGCGCGAGCAGGCCGACTTAAGCCCCCGAACACACGGTGCCAACTCCAGCGTAAAGTTTTAATCTTATTGGTCAGGGCGGGAAACCTGTTTTCGTCTTTTGTGGTCCACACACATGCATCCAGAAAAGGATTGACCGAAGCTTGCATTGTCTCTGGAAGTTTGACAATGTCTGATGGTACTTGCACGTGAAGGAAGTCGGGGTTGTAGTAGAACAGCCAACCAAGGATCTCTGAGCCTGAGCCAGGCAGTGAAGTGATGACAACTGAAGGAAGACCGGCTGGGGAGGTTGGGGCTGCAGACTCTCTAGCTGTCGGTGTCGGAGTACAGGAATCGTTTTGGCAGGCAGAATAGTACAACATCCCCAGCATCAAGCCACCCATTAACACCATGGCGAGGAAAAAGTTTCTGGGCCTTGGGACGATTCTACGGAAGCGACGGTTGACCAAGTACAGCACCACCAATCCAAGCATGAGGGCTCCTAGAAATAGACTCATTGTGGTGAAACTGTCCGAGTTTGTTGGAGTCTTCATCTTGGTCCCTTCCAGTGTGCTGTTGATGCCGAACTTAATAAGCTGCATTCCCTTTCTTACGGTTACGTAACCCGGATAGCCAAGAAATTTGAGTCGAACATTTGGATTATTGTGCCTCGTCACTGTGTTGATCCTGTAGTTCATCTTCTCCGTCCGTAACTCAAATGAGACTCCCTCCTCTTTCACATCAAGGAAACTCATATCAACGATTGTTTCAGAGGGGCCGTAGAGTGCGTAGGCCATCCGCGTCAAACGGGATTTCAACTTCATGGTGACGTTGACAAAGTTGGTTTCTCGGGATCGGTACTCGGATGGGTGCGACTGCTTGGACAAGGATGCCTTTGGGCTGCGGCCTTCAGGAGTGACCCAGAACATCTTGTACTCCTCGCCCTTGATTGTCGATTTGGCACCGTAAAGCTTTTGCAACCGTGCCGGATCAAAGGTGTTCTCAACGCTGTTGAAGAACGCCGCAGCGTGGGTGAGCGGAGACCTGGATCGAGTCTCAACGTGATCTAAGATGACTAGCAAGTTGGGATTGAGAAGCACTAAGCTGCGGTAGACGGACTTCAAATTCATCTTGGGATCGTAACTATTCTTCGCCTCACCACTCATATGCACCATACCGTCACCAACACTTGCTGTGACTAACTCCCCACCATACGCTTCTACTCCCTCCCTACGCCATCGTAACCACTTATCACACTCCCCAAGCTGCCCCTCCCACGGCTTGAAACATTGGCTCGTAGGCGACGGTGAGAACAAGAGAACATTGTTCAAGTAGGAGTACTTTGGCCCGTACAGACCGTCGGTGATAAAAGGCTGTCCATTCGGGGCAAACACAAACATGTTCTGGTCTGGGTGTTCATGGCCCGGGTTGAAGCTCTTCCATTTACTGAGCCAAGAGGAGTACATGTTTCTCTGGACAACATCGAAGATGCCCCGGCCGTGCATCTTGCCAGATTTGAACGCCAAGAAAACGTCGTCAGTTACGCTAGGGTCCACCTTGCTGTAAGTGACCACACCCCAGTCACTGAAAACATGGAGGTCTGGTGTCCCGCTCTGAGGAGGTGCTTTAGGATGGATGGATGGGTCATACCACAGAAATTCTGTGTGGAGCGTGCACCATCTCTGCGACTCAGAAGGCGCCAGTCCAGACTTTCTGTCCATGACGCGATGGCTGCGTATTTTCTGGGCCAGCCAGTTCCCGTAACCGTTCCGCATCACAAAGGTGTCGAGGAAGACTAGCTGGCTCTCCGGACCATAGAACCAGTTTTTGTTGCTGTCGGCAATCCCGACAGTGCGCTGAAAGTTTGGCATGATGGTGTTGTAGTAGAACCAGAAGTGCTCCTTCAACCACAAATCCTGGGTGTGGTCCACGTCAAAGTGACGCATTGCCAAGTAAGCGTACTGAGTGACAGAGCGCGACGTGTAGCTTCCGTATGCTACACCTTCCTCCATCGAGCCATCAATGACGTGATTGAGAAGCGACATGGTTTTCTCAAAGCTTTCCCTGGCATGTTGGATCCACTTCTTTGATTCCGGTGCTTGGTGCACTGCAGAAACCAGACTCCCATGTAGCAATGAGACGTAATTAGTCGCGACGTGATTCTGTATATGCTGACTCCCCCAGGCACGGATTAGTGAACACTCATACATTTCTTTGGTGACGCTGATGATCTTCTTCAAATACAACGCCCGTCTCTCTTTGCCTAGGACTGGATACAGAAAATCAAATGCCGTGACCAACCCTGTTAATGAATGGGCAACCGGTACCTCGTCACTTGGTATCTTGATGACCTGCCATTTTGGAAAAGATACCATGATGTCCATATATTTGAATGCAAAGTCTCTGGCTTCGTGATCCTCAGGGTACAACACGCAGTACATTGCCAGGGCTGCTAAGTTGTTCCCATATACTTCGTTCCAGCGGCCACCAAACGTTTCGTAGTTCGACGAGGGAAGGTAGTGGTGCTGGTTACTGAGCATGGTCCGTGCGGCTTCCTCTAGCACACTGGCGATCTTACTGTGGGTGGTCCGGGCCTGCTTGATCAAGCTCGGTACCCGGTCTGGACTGTAGAACAGCATGGGATGAGTGGTGAACTGCGAAGCAACGCAAGTGACCACAAGCATCCATGCTGCTGTGAGAGTTAACCACAGCTGGCAAGTTCTGAGGCACGATGTGGGAATGGCCAAATGCGCCATACCACCCGAACTGTATGCTCTTTCCATCGCTGTATTGAGAGTGACCTGGGGTCCTGAGAGGTCAATGGTCACCTCCAATTCATGGCTCTGACAAATGTTCTTAGTTTAGCAATGCCGACTGACATTCCTTGACCTGTGCGTCGGCGAGTAATCAATGGGCACTACCTGAAAAAGAGGGAAATGTGATTTGTTAATACATGAATTCGAAATCCTGTATTCTGCCAAAATTCCACAAAAATTCCTAGAAAAGTCTTGAATTCCAAGAATGATAATTGAACTTGAGACATAATTGATAAATTGCACAAAGAAAGAATCGCTAGGCACAAACCGTGCAGGAAAATTGTGATCTCTACCCCAAGAAACTGTTCAAAATTGCAAAACAGGTGTAATTACAATTGAGAAAAGTCTGCTTTTGATTGTAAAGATGATTGTTGAGCAATAAAAAACATGTTTGACTCTAAGTTGATCAAAACAAAACAGGGGCCCTACATGATCGCCAATACGTCAGTCGTCAGTCGTCAGTGTTTCCTACTTCCATCATCCATGGTGACACATAGGGCCTACCATGCTTGAAATGTGACACTATTTAGTATTTAATTGCAATGAGTATTAACTCTTTCGCTACGGCGATCCGCTGAGAGGGGCAGACAAAAATTGTACATGTCGTATGGTAAGCCGCTGGCAGCGGCTCGGCGACGTCGCTATGAATAAACAGGGTATCCCCATGACGTGTGCCTTATCTACATAATTTATATCGTATAACCTCTGACCCTAGTTTGAGCCACTGCCATCGGCTCTCCGTCTCGCCGGGGTCTGATGCAGGTTATTTTGAGCAATTTGTTTACAGAGAGACATTTAAAGATGGTGGCGTCCACATCTACACACGGCGGAATTTCTGGTGAATTATTACGTACAAACGTGAAAAAAATCGGGAAATTAAATTCAGTAGGCCTTCTGTAGCGAAAGACTTAATAATAATAACAACATGCAGTTTTATTGCTCTATATACTAGCCTATTTCTTAGTCCGAGTAACTTGGACCCAACTTATCGCCTTTTTAAAAATTTGGACATGGTCTGGCGATAGTAGGGTCCAAGCCCATTCCTCGACCTAGACAACACAGTCACTGACAGTCCCAAAAACCAACATTTTCCAACAAAAAACATCAGATTTCACCTTCAAAACGGCCTCCAAATTACTAGATATGTCACCTGAGGTACAAGTAGTTGGTTTTTGGGACTGTCAGTGACTGTGTTGTCTAGGTCGAGGAATGGGCTTGGACCCTACTATCGCCAGACCATGTCCAAATTTTTAAAAAGGCGATAAGTTGGGTCCAAGTTACTCGGACTACCTATTTCTAATATTATTAATATAAAACAACATGCACATATAGGCCTACTCATTCTTATGTTCTTATGAGTCAAGCCAAATACCATAGAGCAAGGAACATGGGGCTATAGGCCCTATGTTCCTTGCTCTATGGTATTTGGCCTGATTCATGCAAACATTAGGGGTCCTTCATCACGGTCACCAGATCACACGAACTGAAAGTTAAACTTCGACAAGTTGACATGATCATGATGATTAGCCTAGTTATTTCCCATATTATTCCACCCAAGAAAAACAAAGTTCTTGAACCCGTTCCCGACAATGACGTGCATATTATCTTTCTAAAATCATCACGCACTTACCTCTCTCGAAAATTCTTGAAATAACCCTTCAGAACACATCACACGACGTGGCAAACTTCCGCAGCTCTGTACTTCATCCAGCTGTTCAGATCATGTAGGCCACTTTGTGGTAAACTATCCTTGAACTGGTGCCCATGTGTACGTGTCCTGTGACACATAAGTGATCAAGGGAAGTAAAGAGGGAACCAGACCGGTGCTAGTGATAAAAAGTTTACGTGAATGTCTCTATGCTTTTGAATGGTAGAAATCTATATTTTTAATCAATGTCCCACAATTGCCACAAAGGATATTTTGCGGTGCAGTGATTGTAACCTGTTTAAATTGAGTTGTTCATTCACGTCCGGCCAAAAGTTACAACTTACAAGGCAAATAAAGGGGATGTTACACAAGGGCGGATCCGGGGGGGGGGGGGGCCAAAGGGGGCCATGGCCCCCCCCCCCCCCCAAAAACGAAACCAATTTTTTTTTTTTTATGTGACATCGCAATAAAGGCAGCCAATGAGTACACCACCATCTTTTCCTAAAAAAAAACATTGGTTAAAGTGGTCAGAAATTGCCTCAGATCGCACCACAGAGCATCTAGAATCCAAAAAAATTTCGGGGCCCTTAAGCGGGCCCCGAACCCCATGCCTAAATTTTTTTGACCCACTTTTTGGGAGGACAAATTTTTTTTGCCCCCCCCCCCCAAATTGTGTTCTGGATCCGCCCTTGATGTTACAAAGGGGTGTTACCTGGGGATGGGAGGGGGCTAGGGCTGAGATGGGGGGGGGGGGGTGAGGAGCATTTTGTCTTCCCTTGGGGGAAAATAGATTGCTATATTTTAATTATCAAACGAGTTTCCCTCAGATTCAGTAAAGCAAAAGTTTCTAAATATAGGAAATTAAAAATGGTAGATGGTATTTTTTGGAGGGATTTTTCAGTTTCAATTCCCAAAGGCCAAGAATTCTGAAAGAAAAGTTCAGTGCAGCAAATTTTAACATATAGTTGTCCATTTTATCAAAGTACAAGTTTTGGATTTATACCACTTGGGTGTGGCATAGAGGAATAAAAGCTGAAATGACCTATTCGATGACCACCAGTTCTTGTACAATGTAGTTAAAAGTACAAAAAAAAGCTCAATTGATGAAATGGGTGGTTCAAAGATACTAATCTGGTGAAATCTTTTCAAATTTTCTGGGGGTTTTTTGGTCATGTGTCATGCAAGATATTTTCATGCTTTCGAATTGCTTAATTTGCCTCAAGGATTTTAACATAAGAGAATTAATAGACAATTCTTAGACAAATGACACGCAAAACTTAGTCAAGCTAATTTTCTTTGTTGCTACCTCGATCTTCATTATCATCAGCAAATACTCTCTACATAATAGACTCCATTTAGACAATTCAGCTCTGTATGATATATTTTGAAATTTGCACAAAATTGATGTTTCACAATTCTTTCAATTACTGCTCCATTTTTAATTTTCTGCCCACTTTGGCAGTTGGACATCTTTGTTTTTTTAGAAAAAAAAAATAAAACATTTACAGCAATGTTTCACAGTTCAAATGGCTATTGTGATTGCTCTTTGTAGTATACAAAATAATTCGGTTTTTTTTTTTTTTCAATTAAAAGAAAGATCAAACTAGATTTCAACTTTTTTTTAATTTGGAGACTGTGCATTGCTACTTTACCTACAAAACAAAACCTAACTTACATTAAAGGGAATGTACAACATTTGCTTTTGCTGCAATTTTCAGAAATTAATGGATTTGGAGGATTAGTATGTTATAGCACATACAGTATGTGACCCGCTCTGCAAAAGTGAGTCTGATGTCGCATAATTTCAATTCAAGCTTTTGCCATTTTGAAATGGAAACAGTAAAAATTTGCTCAAAATTTGGATTTTTTTGTTTTTGTTTTATTTTGGTTGTTTGATAGTTTTAGTTCAAATATTTTACACAGAAATGTAAATATTGTAAGAAAAAGAAAAAAAATTATGAATCTTTGGTCCTTTTCTTGGTTAGTTACAGTGTATTTGTAATTTTTCAAAGCCTTTTTTCTCCATTGAGACCTTTCTAGCTTTGCAAAAACTTTACAGAATGAAACAAGCACAACAGTGCAACCAAACGTCCTAGAGAAGTCCATGATATACCAAATGAAAGCTTATTTCATTCCCATTTTATTAATGTAGTTAACTCAAAATGTCAGTTTTGCCACAACAGACTCATTTTTGCGGAGCGGGTCACATATTGTTAAAATGACTTTTTTCACGTTTTTGGGCTTGTAGATGCTGGGAAAAAAAAACAAGAAAACCAATCATGTTCTTGCAGTCTGGTTCCCTGACCCACTTTAGATGAAACGGAGCAGTTTATAGACTTAAGGGAACTGTAAGGTCCGAGAATCAGTCTAACAGACTTGTACCTCTTCACAGGTGTGTAATCAATTGCAAAGAAAATGCGGAATAACTAATTATGAAAATTCGGAGCAGTTTTTGAAAAATAGCCAGTTTTCTCCAACGCTGGTCGGCCGACCAGCGTTGGAAAAATACAATTTTTCTTGAAAATGTCAGCACACCAGGAGCCACGATTTTACAGGATGCTTTAGACTGTCATTCCCTAGCAGTCCAGTAAGGTATTTCGTGATAAATTGATCATTTCGTTTTGTGATGTTTGCAAATGTTGTATCTTCCCTTTAACCAAGCTTACTAAGTAAATAAAAACTAAAAACTATCTTTGAGTTAAAAACAAGTTGGTTGGAATTACAAAAGCCACCGAATATTTCACTGATAATAGACTAATTTTGCCCTGTAGAAAAGCATGAAAAGCATGAAATCGTTTATCTGTAAAATGAATACAAAATTACCTTTTCGTACAATAAAAGAATAAAAATCATTCAATTTCCAAACATGCTACTGGGAAGTAACAAAAAAAGAGGATATTCCAAGCATTACAAGACTTTAAAAACAGTGGGGGTTTTTTCCTCAATTTTTAATGGCATATGTGTGAAGTGTTAATGAGGAAAAATTAGCTGCTCCAAGGAAAAGTTACATGGATGAATCTTCGAGTTACGATTTGAAGAAAAATATTTGTTCCTTTAAGAGACCAAATGAGTACAGAGGGTGCCTAGTAGTCTGGCCTGGCTGGTGCCACCATTGTATGTATATTAATACCCATTTTGCAAACGGGGGCAGAAACCAGGCTACCGCTGCAAGTATGTTGCGGGTTCACATGTGCAATTTTAAGAATTTGCAAAACTTCAAGCCCTCCCATCACAATCTCAAGTTACAAACATTAATTAACGGACATTAATGACACAGACCTTTCCAGCACTATTTAATTTTTAAAAAAGTAATATAGGTTTTCCCGGCCAATTTCCTAAAATGTTCATTCACTTCTGAAAATCGGTCATTTGTTTTCGTCTGAATTTGAGAATTCCTCTGGATACCCGTTTCATTTTCGCTACCAGAGCATTCGCTTCCATTTCAGTTCAATCAATTAGGTGATTGATCAGCAGTAGTACCTTTCGTTTATGTCCATTCAGATTCGTTCACAAGACTTCTTTTTCGCTTTTAGAGGGCGATTTCAAACATTCACCATTCTATTTCACTTTTAGTTTAATGCCATCGGCACCAGATACAATTAGTGGTTTCTTTTTCATTAACCATCATTCAAATTAGCTGTACCTGAAATCAATTTAGAAAAGGTTTGCTTGCGTAAATGAATGCACAGGTAACGTAATTGGCCGTCTGTTTCCCAAAACCGAATGCACGGACAATGAAAACGATTGAACTTTCGTTGAATTGAAATGGGATTCAAGATATGCATTCGAATTCATACGAAAACGAATGACTGATTCTCAGAAGTGAATGAACATTTCACGAAATTGGCTGGGAAAAGCTATAATAATAATTAAAATGTACAATTAATTTTTTATATTCAAAACAAAAACTTTATGATTTACCCAAGTTGTCAAGTTTCTAATTTGGTAAAGATAGATTTGAATCTGGAAGCTTACTTCTTTCGACCTCACATCTGAAGAAGAAATCATCTGCCAAAATTGAGCCAATTTTGTAAAAGCACACAATTTGTAAGAGCACAAAATTTACTAGCTTATACAGACATGTCACTGATCAGAATGACTTTTAAGTACTAGTTCAAATTTTGACTGGCTGTAAGCTAACACAACTGAGCGGTGAAAAGACTACAGCAGTTTGCCTTGCTTTACTGTTAACTTGGCGTCGCAATTCGGAATTTCCACATTCGATGCGACCGGATTTGAGTGTGGAGTAGAGAAAGCTTGACAATGTTAAGAATCTCAGGGATTTTCTTTTCCATCATCATCTGTTATCAATCTTGTCCTTGACTTCTTGCACCGTTTCCTTCAGCGACTGGCGATACGTCTTCTCCTTGCGTGGCGGATGCTTGACGTAGCCTTTCCGTCTGAGCCATCGGATCGTCATCTCGGTGGCACCGACCGTCACCGTGTAACGCAGCGGCGTGAAGATCTTGTACAGGGCGTAGGCCATCAGGGCATTGCTGGCTCCGGAGTTCTTGAGCGTGCCGACGTGGTGCTCGCTGACGCCGATTTTCAGGAGAAACGGGGCAATGTCCACACCCCTGTTTTGAATAAGGAAATAAAAGTGATTAGAATCAGTGGATCTTTTAGGGATAAACTTGAAAGACTATTTCATCAAAACCTGGAGCATTACAAAATAAGGAAGTGAGATATTTGGACCAGAGACTGCATGGAGAAACTTGGAGGGTTGGAGACTAAAGACCTGAGCTCATACCATGAAAGCCTCTGTAACAGTTTTCTTAGCATGTTAAATAGGTTTCTTAGCATGTTGATACCGTTTTCTTGTTGTCTGATTTCCTTAGACCTCACTATGCCATCACAAAATGGGTTTTTTTTATAATAAAAAGTCCTTCATGTGCAATTGTTGTGTGTGATATTAATAAGGGAATAAATGTGTGCTTGACCGGTTTTAAACATTATGTTTAAGACCGGTTGGAGTCTGGATACTGATAATGACCCGAGCCGAAGGCGGATTCTGGAGGGTCCCTATTAAACGTTGTGTGGGGTGTTAAGCATAACAAAAATAGATAACATATATCTGATCTGGAATGGCAAAGAGAATTCCAAACTGCAAACAAACCTAGATGGCGATGCACTTACATTTTTACAGCATAGTAGAAAGCACCAAACCACACAGGCGCAATAACCCAATGGACAGGGATGATGACGTAACCGTACGCTTTCATCATCATCTTCATCCGCGTCCAGTTACTCAGAGGTTTCCCCGTCTCATCATACATTGCCACGATTGGCTCATCATCATCATCATCATCATCATATTCTTCTTGCTCTTTGTTGTCTTTTCTCGCCTCACTGACGTCATCCCGGACTTTATCTCCAGCGTCCACTGCAGAGTCCTTTTCGACTGATCTATTCTCTTCCGTTTTTGATTTGCCGCTGCTCTCCGTTTTGGAGCTTTGAGTCAAGGTGCTGTTTCTGCACGGAGAGTAAATCTGGAAGCCACGCCCACTATCAAGCCCCCAACTGCTGTGTGATGTGATCAAAATGCCATCGGTTATCAATGGATGCGTCTTAAATCCATGAGGCAGGAGATACGAGTCTGGTACCCTGTGTTGGTGTGTAGCGATGGATGTGACAGGTGCATACAGATGTAGAGTTCGCTGACTGCTGTCTAATTTCCTGATCAGAGAAGCTGAAAGGAGAACCACATTTATGAAAGTTAAATGTTACTATTATTATTACCTGCAAGTCAACTGGCACAGGGGTGTGAATGAATCTCTGTGCCCTTCTGTTGCAGTGGCCTTATGCATCTCAAAAAGGCTATCAGTCAGGGGAGATTACCTCTTGTGGGCAAAGTAACCTTTCCCCTAAATTTAGCAGGGAAAATATTGAAAGATTTACTGAGAAAACACAGAAATGTTCAGACCAGTCTCATACGGTTTGTGCAAGGGGTAAAAAGTGATGGCCAGATATGGGAATCTTCCGAAATTTTTTTTTTTTTTTAACAAAACAACGAAACAGCCAATGATGTAACCACACTGCCCGACTCCTAGTGCTACAGTGGAACGTCGCTATACCGATCATTCGGCTATACCGAACATCAGCCTTGGCATGCTTGGCTCCCAATTTTTGTGTACAAAAACGTACCGAACATTAATGTTGTTGGAAATGTCAACAGAAGAGCGACAAATGGCTATTATTAAAAACTGTGTACATAATTCAATAGTCGCACATGTTCGAAGTCGTCTTTCAGTAACTACCAGGGCGTACTTGGTGAAGTTCTGCTACGGAATTGAAAATATTTAATGAACAACTTCGGCGACTCCACGTGTCATGCGTGTGGTTTGTAAATGCAACTACACAATAACAATGATCAAAAGAGGGCGCCAAAAATGTGTAAAAATCGTTATACCGAACGATCGCTATTACGAACAATTTCTGTGGATCCCACGAGTTGATTAAAAAATAAATTTACACAAATATTCACAATAACTGATAACATTGTCAATGCACACCAGTCCAATGTCCAAGTAGTTTAGTAACTCATATCACCTCTTGTAAACATTTTTAACATGAAACATGGCCGTAAAAATCCAAAATAAAAACCCAAAAACCGTAGGGCCTACTCAATCATTACTGATTACATCATGCAATGATTGTAATGCTGATTTTTATGGTTTAGTGTTTTATACCACACATTAAAAAATCATAATATGGAGCATGTTTACGAAACGCAGTCGCAGGCTTAGCACGGTTAGCTGCTGATAAAAACACCAATACCTTTTGTCCGTGAGGTGAAACAATAACCTTCTTTTACAATTTCTACGTCAGTGACAACTGCTCTCAATTTACTGAAACCCCGGAATAACGCCATGATTTTTACTTCGAAATCACAGAACCAGAACTCATCACGTAGAACTCTGCACGTAGGCCAAATAATGTAAATAAACCAAAGTGTACCCAGACGTTGCTGGCGTTATAAAAGGGAGGTGGTACCAGACGTTGTGGTACCAGACTACGATTCAGCAATTTTCGTTTCGAAACACGCTACACGCGTGTTTTGTGTTGTGCGAGTCGAGCACGTGCGGCGTTTGTGCGGGGGAAAACTTTGGGCGGAGCTTGTGGTGCTTTAAAAGAGGGGGAAACAGAAGGGGTCATAAAATGCCTCCCTGAATACATTGAACCTTACTTTTATTTCATTCCAGGAACCAAATACTGTGAGCTTATCTAGAGTAGCCACACAAAACTAAAAAATGAATGGGACAGGCAAATATCGTGTTTCCCTGGAAGGATAATTATATTTCCTTCATCCATGGTGTTCCTAACTTAGTGGGCAACATTTAAAATGGACAATAAGATTAAGATATGCGCATGTCTACAATTGTTTTTTTTATTAAATTAATATAGATTAATATGTTTAGCTTCATATTTTTTGGGGTGGGGTGTGGTGTGGAGAGGTGGCCATTATTGGGGGTTTTTTTCCAGAATAAAATTTTCAACTAAAATGACACAAACAAGGGTGGTTGGAATTTGTTTAACATGATTGGATACTTGAAGAAAGGGCAGGGTAGGAAACCAAATTAAGACATCCATCAAATTAGAAGATTGATGGATTTTTCTTTTAGTTTAAGATTACAGATTATCGATGAAATGGATACACAGACAGACCAACAAAAACTTCAGAGACAATAACACAGTTAAGGAAACGAAAGTGACATTGTACATATTACAATCAGTTTATTCACTGATACATATTATCCAAGATTTCCAACCTCATCCCCTGCATAACTCCCCCCCCCCCCCACCCACCTCATTTTCCCCTGCTTACATTTCTTCTTATTCCTCCATAATACAACCCCAACTAAGTTTTCATCCGGGAATAAATATGTGCTTGGCTAGTTTTAAGCAAGTACATTTTAAACTTGTGAAAACCTGCTTGGAGCCTGGACGCATGATAATGGCCCGAGCCGAAGGCAAGGGACATCATCGGCGATCAGGCCACTAGCCGGTTGTAAATATACTTGTTCAATACCAGCCAAGAACATACTTAGTCCCATTCATATTACCTTTCAGTCAAAAAGTCAAAACAACTTACAATTATAAATTTCCAACAATTTTACTGCATGTTTTTCTTAACACCCCTCTAGCTATGTTTATGGTATGTGCCTCTCACGAGTAGCACTAAAAATCTCCTTATAAGGAGATTGGTGCGCACACGTGGCGCGTACTGCACGATGTATCGTGCAGTACACGCCGATGCCAGTGTAAATTTAGGACTACCGACTCATTGGTTGTATTGCCCATGCCTAAGTGAAGATTGTGAACGTTTTACCAATAAAAAGGGTAAAAGCTAGGACCAGATTTCATAGGGGCCCAAATTTCATGTGACACCGGAAAGGTATTTAAAACCAGCCAGTCAGTGATCAACCATTTAAAACCAACCACATAACGGGCTTTCAACCATCGACCAATAGGAGTGGGTAAACTGTCTCAGGTATTTATGAATTACAATTAAAAATGGCACAGATGAGAAAAATTTATGTTCATGAGGGCAATTATCAATGAGGGAAAAACCTAAACTAAATGAGGGAATCAAACTAACGTCTTTGATATTGTTGTAATTCAGGCATTTTGATTGGTTAAGAGAACATCATGTGACTGTGATGCAATGACAACTGATGGATAAAAATGAGGCAAATTTCCTGTAGAAAGTAGATATTAAATAATTCTAAAATTGATGAAAAAAAAATACAATTTCGTATTTTTTGTTAGAATTTTTTTTTTAAGAGTCCACAAGAAATAAAATTTAAACAGTAATGCCTTCCAGTAAGGTAAGTTCTCTCTCTAATTGACTGGTTCCCAGCCCTGGTCCTTTCAATGCCAAAAATAGCACTGAGGGACTAGGAACCAGCCTCACTTTGCTCTCATTACTTAAACCCCTCCTTCCCTGGTATGCCGTGTTTCCAGCATGTAAACAATCTTAACAATCAGCCGTGAACCAGGGAAATGTTTAAACAGCGCCCTCTTTTGTCCACGCACAGAGCCTATAGAAAGCTTTGGAGCCAATTTCAGGGAGCTGAAGAAAAAAAATGCTGCTAAGCAAAATTAAGTGCTTAGCAAAAAATCAGCCGTGAACCAGTCCAATACCAACCAGTCGCATGACAATTTGGCTGGTAACCTGTATATGCTAAGCAGATATTTTCTGCACTTAGCAAATTATGTTCCAAGCAAACTCAATGAAATTGGATCCTAGTTGTTTTCTCAAAGCTCATGTGAAGAGTCGTATCGTGCCGTCGGCGCCGCTGGAGAACAGCCACGGTTGCGACGGGTGGAACTCACACGCCAGAACGCCGAGACTGTTGGTGACCTCGTGACCTCTGAGGATCTTGACGGGAACAATCTGGGCATTCTGGAGAAGGTCGCTGTGGATGGTGAGATAATAAAAATATGTTAAATTTTTGGAATATGTGATTATTAAAATGAAAAGAACAAAAAAGTTTTGGCGCAGTTTAGTCAAAACTGTGTACTGTCTTCTAAGCCTCCATCAAATTTTGGTAGCAAAAAAATAAGTAAAGTTGTCCAATGACCTTTTTTAGGGGGAGCAAATGTGAAATTATAATTATTTGTTATTATTATTAATCATTTCTGGTAATGAAACCAAGGATTCCTCAAAAGTGCCCTAGGCACTGTAGCTCGCAAGCCTGAAGAAACCTGTAGACAAAAGACAGTGAGAAGAAATTACAATTTTAGAGGTGGGAGGAAACCCCAGAATATTCCAGGGAAAACCCCCAGAATTAGGCAGGGACTGAAATGCCAATCCAAATATTGACTCAGGCGGGATTCGAACCCAGGTCACAGCTGTGGTAGGCGAGGAAAGTACTGCTACGCCAACCTGACTCCCCATTTTGAAGGCGGTTCTACCCAACTCCCTATTCTGGTCATTTTTTTATTTCGGTATTTTTCTGTGGTAAACACACCACTGCATGCATCCAGCAACACTGACTTTCTTGCACTTACTTGTAAACCTGACCATGACAAACAATGACCAGCCCATCGTCACCGGACGAGGCAAATAGCGGATACCGTCGGTGATAACACACTTGGCGTATTGCTTGCCGGTGATGACGTAACGTCTTGTAAGGTTTGACGGAGAGATCCATGTCGAACCAGCTCAGCCTGCAATCGTAGCTGCTGACTAACACGTTGTCACCTACAGAAACGGACAAGAAAATCCTCAGGTTGCAGACCAGTAAATAAACTGCCATAGACCCCAATGATAAATGCCCCCACTTCAGAAATTCAGGAAAAATACTCACAACTCTCCAAGGTATTCGAGACACACATCAAATTAAAGCTTATTTCATCATCTTTCATTTTCTTTTCAATTTTCGGGGGTTAACTCATGACTTTTAGGAGAAATTTCCATCCAAATATGATCACCCCTTAAAATAGTCCTGAAGCCCATCACCATTTTGAAAAACGACGCCTACACTCCATTGCAAAATAGAGCGCTTTTAGGGCCCCAATTTCATCCAAATTGCACAGAACTACAAGCTCAACAGTCCTGTGCACGGCTTCCACCCATATTTTTTTCAAACCCTCAAGTTCATGGCCCTCAATATGCTCAAATACTGAAGATTTTGAGGGCACGCAAATCGTGATTTGGCCGGCATAGGCAATTTTGGGCCTATTTACTGGTCAGCAACCCTCAATGCCAGATGATCGACTGGTCTATTGAGCCTGACAGCTGCACAAGTGGATTACAGATGCGCTTCTCAGGTACCACACTGTGTGTTCCAAATGCTCACATCATGGATTTATTAAGTGTATGCATGTGGAACTTCAGTCAGACATTTTGTTGAACTGAGTGTTTTAATGAGTGTGATCGGTCAAAACATTGGTACATCTCTGTTCTGCTCAAACAGCGCCAACTAAACTCACTCAGCAAACTGCACTTCACAACTCACTATTTTCATCAGTCTCATTCTTTGCAACTCTCTCCAGGTGTAGTATTTTGCATGATTATTTTATCAGTTCAGCGCTTGTTAAGTGCTTAATAATTATAACCCCGGCTTGAGATCAGCGCAATTGGAGTGAATAGAATCAATTGTAGTGAAGTGTCTTGCCCAATTTTACTTATTATTTGCTGTGGACATTCTTCTAAGGATATCCCATGTAGGTTCTGATTGTACTTCATTGTGTAGTTAAGTTAAAGTGAACAAATGTAATTAGTACTTATCATGATACATATTTTCTTCTACACATAATGGACTTCTCCACTTGACAAGCTTGCTTTTTGGAGAAGCCCACCGCTTAGGGACCTTGACCATTCAGCCCCGGTATGAAAAGGGCCCCCCGGTAAGCTCGTCCCCTCCCAAGAAGTCCTCTCGTACCGTCCCAGCTACCGGCCCAGGAGCTGGTCCGGTTGCTAATCAGGAACTCCTCTATCCTGGTGTCTATTGTTTGCAAGTATTGACACCTGTAATATATCCCAGAAGAAACCTGCTTGTGGTTTTCATCTCTCAGCGCGAAACAATAGAGCACTTCCGTCGGCACAGATCAAAACCCCTGCCATGCGGTTTCGCGCACAATGGGACCGTAAATTAAAAAGGCGTTTGGAAGGATTTTGTCACAAAGTGTGATTTATATTTTTAAATAATGTTTCAATTTTTGTATTTATCATTGTGTTTATTAATGTAATTAATTATGGGATTTTCACTTATACATTTATTTTAGCACAAGTTAATTTAATTCTCCCCCATCCAGAATTGAGGCTACCCAGAGTGTACAGCAGAGCTAAATCTTTCTTATGCAAATGACAGTATGCAAATTAATGCCATGGTTGAGTAATTTTGTTAGGACTTGGATGCCATGTGCATTCCCCAGGGCACTGCTATTCTAGACTTCGCTGTGTGCAGTCCTGTGTGAGTACATGTACATGTACATGTATATACAGTGGTACTGTGTGTACCAGGGCGTGGCCCATGATTTAAAAAGCCAGTTTATCCTGCAAACTGGCTTTCCCTGTGAGAATAGAGAATTCCTAGGTTCTTGGTGAACCCGATAGCTAGTTCTGTGTGAACAACAGTTAGCCAACTCCCAAGACTCACGGTCTACCGGGAGAGTCCGGAGGAATATTCGGAACCGAGTCCTGTGTGGACCGTCAAGCATCGAGCCAGATTCCAAGGCCCGGAGAGGTCACCCAAGTTCCCCAAGCCCGGAGTTTCTCCGCCTTAGTGGGACCGTAAAAACGCCGGAGGGATATTGTGTGTGACTGGTACTCCAAATCGACCACCCGTGTCACAAGTGTGAACTTGGAACGCAGCAAGTCCTTCAAAAGGTTTTGAACAGTGACTGTTTAGGGGGGTGATTGCATTTGTTTTGGGGTATTGGAAACGGCCGTATAACACATAATACAGGATCCTTATAATGCCATGATATAGTTGAGTATCCGTCACTCAAAGTATAAGTAATCCATATAGTGGCATAATTCAATTGAAATAATTTGTACATAGTAAATTTCCGTTTGTTTAATATATTTATTTGTCGTAATTAAATAGTATTTTGTCTTGATCATACACATTTTGCCGTCCGGAGTTTGATTTTCTGTCCTGCTAATTTGTCAAATATATCCACTACTGTCCTCCATGGGAAAAACAGACCCATGGTGTGACAGATTTTATCTTTAATCCGGTAAATCTGCTATTGTTCTGCTCTGGACGTTCTCTGAAGGGCAATAAATTGATGCGCCTGACTGACTTCAAAACTTCTGGTCAGACAGGACCATGTACCGGACGAGACTGGGCTGAAGACCGGACTGGCTCTGGACCGGACGAGGTACTGGGAGGCCCTTTTCATACCAGGGCTGAATGGTCACGGTCCCTTAATATTATCCGTTTATCCAAACTATTGTCTAAACCTTTTTCCTTCAAAATGATTAAGTGGAAATACATAAGAATGACTGAATGAATGAAAAGGACACAGCAACATGACACCTCTTGGGGTTAAAACCCATATTTACGATGTTACGCGAGTCAGACATCGTAACCATTGGACCAGTTTTGTCTTATACACACCTCCAGGATGGATGGCAATGCTTGATATCCACTTGGCGTTTGTCAGTAACTTCTTGGAGAGCTCTTGCTTGAGGAGATTGTAAACACGTACAAATCGCTGAGTCTGAAACCGACAAACAGGCGTGCAACTGGGAATTTAGAAAAAACGAGGAAACTCCAAACCACACAAGACTTTGTTCGGTACTTTTCAAAACGAGGAAATCAGCAGATCCGAGGAAAAGTTGCATGACTGCAACAAATTGGACGAAATGAAATGGATCGCTTGATCCAAGAAATAAGCTCAATTGGTCATACATTGATTTTTTTTGCAAACTTTTTATTCAACTTTTCAACCTTGATTTTCAAATGTTAACATCTGCAATAAGAATTGATCCACTAACATTTTCCATCACCACATACTGCTGTAATTTCACATTAGGTGAAATTTTTCAATATAAATTCAAATGTTACACTTTGTGAAGAAAAAGGAATAACTCAACTACCCAAAGAAGAATTTAATTTTGCATTTATTGTTTTGTGAATAAAGTGCTACTGGAAAGCATGGAGAAAAATAAGGCAAGTAAATACAATTTTCAGAGACAACTCCGATTTCAAGAAATTTTCCCAATCATTTAGAGCAAAACAGAAAATCTAAAGACTAATGTATACTTTCTCAAGGGCTACACAGAAATTCCCGGTTAATTTAGAATATTTCCAAACTTTATTCAAGTCGTGCAAAATACCACTAAAAAAATGGCGTCACTCACCGCAACAAAGAAGTAGGGTCTGGAAGGATGGAATGAGATGGCCTGGACCAGACCCTTGCTCTTCTTAAACGGCGTCTGCGATCTTCTCTTGGACAGTTGGTGAATCAGGACCGAGGAATGCCCACCGTCAGGAACTACAGTGCCGAAATAATCTCCCTTGCCGTGCCAGGCAATCTGCTTTGTTGGCTGAAACAAAACATTTAATTTTTACAGAATCATTTTTTTTAAACTCAATTTTCATTTAAAGGTAGTAGGCCATTTGCAGCTATCCAAAAAGTAACTGACCAAATTATTGTGAAAAAATCTTACTTGGTTTAAAGATAGTAATGGCATTAAACTCCCTGTGAAATTATTCCTTGTGGCATGCTGTCATTTTGAAGAAAACAACAAAAGAAGGTTATTTAAAAATATGTGTCAAGTGACACATTTTTGGAAATTTCCGTGAATCTGCCCCCATGCGTACTAATTTGTAGTTGGTTTGCAATTGGGTGCATCCATGAATGGGTGACAACTGGCTGAATGAGAATCATGACCTAATGCTGATTTCGGATTGTGTCACGAGAAGGCGCAATTCAAAATATGACTCGGCGAGAGAGAGATATCGAGAGAGATATTTGTTGTGTCGGGCGCCAAAATAGAACCATCGAGCGATATACTCCCCAGGGCACTGAGATGGTCTTAGGAAATGTGTATCAGCCCAGTTGGGCTAACAATGATGTAGCAAAGGTTAAAATTAGGTACTCCGAGAAAATAGCACACTCAATCTTCAGCTGTCACATGCAGGGTCAAAATACCTTACAATGAATGCACTCACAATAAAAAAAAATACACTTAGTGAGCACATCTGTTTCTATTTGGAGAAATGTAGTAAACTGTAATGTGCGACTGTAATTTCACCGGTAACGACTGTAACTGTTATGTGCAGAACCTTTAAGCTACATATAATGGATATGTGAAGTTAATATAAAAAAACACCAAATTGTTAGGATTACTTTGAAGTGTTTCAGACACAATCGGAAACCCTTCTCCTTCGCCTCCTCAGACGCCTCCGTCCATTCCACCAGTGATGACTTCTTCACTTCTTCAGGTTCCTCGTACGACTCCAACAAGCGGTCAGTGTCCGACACGATGAGCTTGTCCCCGAGCCCGGGATTGATCAGATGGACTTTCTCCTCGACCGAGATAGCTACCAGACATACCGCGGTGTTGGGGCACCAAGCCACGCATTTGACCGTCCCGTCCACGTCCAGTTTCTTCATGCACCTACCGGACGACACCTCCCAAAACCGGACCGTCTTGTCGTCAGATCCTGAGGAAAAAAAATTGGACAATAACAGAATGGCAAAAATACAGCAGCACACCTGCATAGATCCCTTGCGTTCGGCAGTCATCTTTGAGGTGTTGTGTGTCATTTTAATTCAGTAACATTGAATGCACAAGAGTTTTATTAATGCATATCCTTGGGGACCAAAAGCAAACACTTCAAAAATAGCCGCAATGCAATTTTCGTGATTCTCAAGATCTTTTCTCAACCTTACCGAGAACCCTTTACTCCCTCTGAATATTAGCTGCAACCTTCCTGAATTCTCTACGTAATCATACGATGTGAAATCTCAAAGGCACATTCTTGGTACGTCGGCTTTCATCAGTTTCGTGGGGCATGAAGTCCAATGCAAAGTAACACTGCAAACTACCTTCCTAAATCCTTTACAATCCTTCCTCACTCTTGCAAAATCCAACACCATATGGTAACTCAACACCCAAACTGTTGGACTCTGATCATGGTGGTACATTTACATGTATGCCTGACCCCATGTAAAGCATAATCAGTTTACTAGTGCAGTACTCACTCCAACAGAATCAAACAAAACATGCAGATGGATTTTGAAGGGTTGGAGTGGTAAGGGTTAAAGAATGAACCTTTGTAATCAAAGTGTTGTACTTAATTGGAAAGCACTTGTTCCACAGACTTATTATTTTTGTGTAAGCAGCTTAAAGTTAGTATAAATGTTGTGCTAACTATAGCAGAGAATTGACAATGAAAAATGTGGATGTACATACAGTTTGTGCGAGCAGTGGAGATTTGTATTTTTACAACACTTATTTTAAGCAAATTGTCCCTGTGCCTTTCGCTGGGCTTACTGCTAGATGAACGCTCTGTAAGTAGAACATAGTGTGCTAAGTGGCGCCATGAATGTAGGCCCAGGCCATAGTTCCGGCGAAGTCAAGGGACAGGTGTTTTAATAGTTTTCTAGGTCACATGTTTCAATTGCCATATTACGCCAGTCCTGTGTTATTTGAATGAGGCAATCTGATTGGTTGACTCTCTCACCTGAAACCAGCCATTGGCCGGTCGGGTCCACGCTGATGGTCCGGACGTAGCTCTGATGGCCCAGGTAGACCACGGCCTGGGTGGTAGGGAAAGGCTGGAGATCTTTGGGCTTGGGTAACGTGGGCAGGAGGTCTTCAGGCTGAACTTGCACCTGGAAACAAAGACAGGGAAAACGTCTCTAAGAAAATGGAGATTTGTCAATAGTGAAGCAGACTTATATGGTATATGCAAGTGTGGAGCAGTTAAAATGTAACACTTGTGACGCTTTGCTCAGCCCAAGTTTAAATTTCTTTTTAGCTTAGTGATATTAAACGCTACTTACCCTCATCTTTCTTTGTCTTGGGCACAGGTATAGGTCCAAGCATCGCTCAAACCTCTCCCGTACGTAATCCCGGTAGGCTGGTACCTTGCGGAAGCAGTCGAAGGTCAGCGGGATGAAATCCATCTTACGATCCTCCGGATGGGCCTCTTTCCATTCCTTGATCTAAAAAAGAGGGGGAAAAAAGGAACACAAAAATATTACAGGTGACAGGAAATTGCAGTTTTATCATTATTTCATTATGCTCTTTTGCACTAGGTTTGACCTTGGCCAAATATCAAAAGCTAATCACCAAACATTGCTATAAGCAGAAATCAGCAGAGAACCATTTAAAAGCAATGTACATGTACATCACATGCCATTTTGGCTGGTGACCTGTTTTTGCTAAAGCAAATATTTTCTATGCTTAGCAAAATTTGCTCAGCTAAAAAAAAAAACATGAGCTTACCACCCAAAATTTCACACAATGCATATTCCTTGAGACTGGGGCCCAAATTCATGGCTCTGTTTACCATTAGCGAAAAATCCCTGCTTACCGGAGCAGAAACTTCTGTGCTTACGGTAGACATATATCACAGGTTAACGAGGAATTTTGGCTTATGTGCATGCGTGCATCCCATTACTAAGGATTCTGTGCTTACAGGGTTAGCGCAGAGTTTTTCTGCTAGCGCTGTTAACACAGAATGGTGATAGTAAGCACAGAATTCTGTGGTTAGCAGAGCTTTGAAATTGGGCCTGCTTCTCAACTGAATTTTTGCTTAGCCCACAAATCTGCTCAGCAATACTTTTTTTCATGAAATGGACCCTTCCTGACTGTCAAACAGTACAGGACAGGATTGACCAATAAAATCACGACTTTTGGTCAGGTGACCAGGAAGTAGCAGAGTGACACCCAATCACAAGCACTGTGAGAAATTTACATAAACCAAACGTGGGCGGGGCTTATACCTCTTCTTCCGTGGGCAGGTATTCCGGTGGAGGGCGGTATGACTCCTCGTGTCCTGGCAGTTTCTCCTTGGGCGCGGCGATATGCGAGTGGTGGCGCTTCGTCAGCTCAACCAACGCCTCGTTGCTCCAGATGTCATAGAACTTCGGCCGGTCGTCGGCATCTTTTTTCTCCTTGCGCGGCTTCAGCCATCCCATACGAATAGAGTGTAGCATCTTGCTGACCTAAGAGTTGGGGAGAATAGCATCAATTGTAAAAACTGCTATTATTATTTAGGATAACCGCTAACTGAATGTTTCATCCTCTTTGTTTCATCCTCTTTGTTTCATCCTCTTTGTAAAAAGAGATTTGGAAGCAAAGAATTCTTCAGAATTGAACCTCCCAAGAACTGTTCGTAAGTATTTGGAAACTTTTGAATCAAACCCCACTCTAATAAATTTCTTCTGTTTTTGGATAATTTTTTGATTTTGAAATGAAAAAAACATAATAAACTTCTCTGAATGATCCCTGATTGCCATTTCCATAGTATACAGCATTGTTATGTTGCTAGCACTATTACTTTGTGTTTATTTAAAACACAGATTAATGGCTTCTGAATAGTAGACCATAACACAGACATATACGGCGAACCCTCAACATAGTCGGGACACTAGCGGAAAGCTCTTAGGAAGAGCTCCAGCATGATATTCATGAGGTTCGCAGGTTTAATCCAACTCTAGTTAATTTCAATTTCAACCCACCACTCAAAAAATAAACTGATTGAATAAGGCGGTTGCTTTGGGCATTAAGTGCTGATATAATAATGTACATTTACCCTAACCCCCTAGGCCCTCTGGCTAGGATGCAACCTCACTCCTGCAAAATCCTCCAATTGCCACCAAGAAAAAATTGGATTCAGCCTCAATCCTCCAAAATCGTCCGTTATTTCTTCAATTTAGTCTGTGGAGGGTGACCACTGCCTCAATCCTCCAAAATCCTCTGCCAATTACTGCTATGGTTTGAGGCAGTGCGAATGGCGTTTAGAAGCAGTGCGGATGAAATACGAGAAAAACACTGCGCTGATTTATGCATGGCTGAACATAACCAATGCAGGATATGGCTTACTGGCTTGACGTAATGCATCCTCCACAAAAAAAGCGATACATCTTTGACATTTATCCTCAATCCTCTAAAATAATCCAAAAACGGCAGGAGGATTTTGGAAGATTGAGGAGGGTTAGGGTTAATGACGAACTTATGCTGCTGAAATTTACAAAATCACAAAATTCACAAAATCACAAACTGATAAATGTAATTCTCAGTTTATAAAAAACCTAAAAGTTTGCTACCTTGTCTTTCTCCAGCAGAGAGGGAATGAAGCTGCGTTTATGCTCCGGACGTCTGGTCACCGGATGGATCATCTTCTCATGCGTGAAGAAATCAACCCAGGGCTCGTAAGGGTCAAAGGTCGTCTCCGGGTAGCGGCCATCTTGAATGCGCTGAATGAGGGCGACGTCCTCGTCCGGCAGAACAATGTCGCGACCGGTCATCTTGTCATGTACTGTGCGCCTGGAGAAAAAAAAACATTTATTGGAAATCAAAAATTGTATTTTCGTATTTCAATTTGTTGTTGATGAGGGTGAACAATAATTGCCTGGTTGTTAGGGCTACCTGAAATCTATCAGCTGACAAAATGAATTAACTACTTTTAAATATCAGTACATTTAAATAACAGCTTCAGCAGGTATCCGGTAAATAACAGGAATACTTTCAGACTGTCACAAATTTTCATCATAAAAATATTTCAATTTTACTCCATTCTACTTGCTGACACAAAATTATTTTCATTATGTTCGGTTCATGTCCAGAGTTGGAGCCATTTTGAAAACCCAGCACTTGACTATCATAGTAACAATTCAATTCTATTTTCAACACAATAGTTATTTTAGCATTTTAAACGACAGTATAAGGGAAACTGATATCAGAAAATCAATTCACAGGTCCAATAATTAATGATATAGGACTAAAAAAATGTAAGTTCTCTGTGACTGTTACCTTCCCCAACACTTTCAGGGTTAAATCATAATGCGAGACATGATTTCCGGCTACACAACATGTATAGGTTACATGGTTTTGGTTAGAAACCCTGAAAAAGTATCAACAAACGTGGCGACCACCAAGACTGGATAAGTCAGTTGGGGGAGCAACGGCCTTGCATTCCAATGGTTAGAGGTTCAAAAAAAAAAACCCTCCCTTTAGTCAATTAATAAATAAATGTAATAAAATTAAGTCAACACACCAATAGTCAGGGTTGTCCATCTTTTCCAGGAATTCTTCCAGTTCGTCTCTCTTGGGAGGTCGTAGGATCTTTTGTCCCTTGACGTCGTAGCCGATGTGAGGATAGTCGTCGTACCACTCCATGGGGATGTTGCCCACTGTGTTTCTGATGTCCTGAACGGGAGCGGAAAATTTAAAGAGTTTTGAGGATTGTTTACTGAATAAATACTGCCAACATACCTCACATTGGACTGTTCCAGACTTGATCAGCTAGGAAATAGATTGTCAACTTAAAGAAAGGTCTGAAAATTGGATGAAAAATCTGAAAGATGCATTCCTTTAATCCTAACTCCCCAGCCTAATTTACTAGGAACCATACCCATTCTGGCAAATTCCAACACCCACATGGGAAATTGTACACGCGCACAGTTTCTGGAGGTATGCCAACCCCAGTGTAAAACACCATCAGTTTATGGGTACTGTACCTATCCCAACAGATTTAAACAAAACCTGCTGTTGAACTTTGATGGGTTGAGTTCGGTTTAGGTTAAAGATAATCTGCAACATTTGCTTTTGCTGTAAATTTCAGAAATGGGTGGATTTGGGGGTTGTTATTTTGTGGCAAATAATTGTTACACTGACCTGTTTAAAGTTTTGTGTTCATACATGCTAGAAAGCCAAGAAAAAATGCTGTTCATGTAATATGGTTCCCTGACCCTACTTCAGACGAAATGGAACAATTTATAGACGTCTGGGAATTGTCAGATCAGGGAACCAGACTAGCTGGCTTGCACCCGGTCACGGATGTGCGTAACCTATTGCAAACAAAATGTGGCCTTGCTAAATTTGGTAAATTGGGGGCGATATTTGAAAACAGTCCATTTAATTCCAACGATGGAAAAATTGATTGACTACCACGAAGGGTCAATTTTCATTCCCGCCCCCTCTGCCCAAGGCTGCACAACATCAGACCAGGGGATTCTCATTTTTTAGTTCAGCATTTTAATACGCCTTGGTTGCAAATTCAGTGCCAATTCTCACATCGTTGATTTTGACTCAGTCTGCGACTATTGATTCCAAAATAAAAAATTATCAGACCTTGTGTTCCAGAATATCTTTGAACTCTTCATTTTGTCGTAGACAAGCATCTGCTCTTGGTAACTCCAGACTAACCCAAGTCCAGGCAGAATTCTAACATCATTTTGACAAAAAGGTCACGTCTGAATCTCGTGTCTAGAGCTATTGCCTAGCTCTTCAATGATTGTTACTACGTGGGATAATAATGATAAAGCCGTAGCTGTGTACGCCCATTTTTGGACAGGGCCATATTTGGAATTGGAAATCAGCGCTTAAGCCAAATCTCCAGACTAATCTAAGACACAGTAGAAATCAATGCAGTGAACCTGTACTGGGTCCTGGGAACCAGACAAAAATGGCTATCGATTGGTTATTCATTAATGAGTTTGGACAAACAGTACCTCCTCATCCGAAGAATCAAATTCGTACTCGTCGACCACTTTGCTCGCGGTGGGAGTTTCGGCTCCAGTTTTAACCGCATTATCATCTGTTGAGGTCAACTGTGAGGGCGCTGTTTCATTGTCCAGCTTAGTGGACGTTTGAAGATGGGACCTTCTTTGTCGGAGTTGCTGGGTCAATCTGGTTAACTTCCCTTTACTCTTAGGCTTGGTGTTCTGATGGGAAATCAAAAGAAATTGAAACAAAAAATAAAGCAAACGTTTGGAAATTGTTTTCACTCATTATTTAACCCTCCCATGCAAAACATACATTCCGCGCCAACTTGTCCTTGCAGTCAAAATCAAATGACTGTTTCCAACCCTTACGAATTCCCAGCCTACATTAAGCAGGATTGACTGGCTGGGACTGTTTAAGTAACTTGATACAGCTATGCTTTGACTCCAGGTGAGTGATAAAACAGCTGTGACCTGAACTTGCCTGCTTTGTCTGTTTACCCAGTTTGACTAGTCACAGTGCTTGCTGGACATATGATCTGACTGCTGGTGACTAGCCTTTGTTAGAAGTATAGCAGTGGAAGTGAGTTTTGACTGTCTGTGACTGCTTAAATAGCAGGAGGGTTAATAACTTGGATCTTCACTTACAAGCATCTGGTGAGAAATTAAGTATTCATTTCTTACATTTTTACAGAGCAAATGTTAGCCAAAAAACGAAAGGAAGAATTGCATAATACCCTGTCATGCTAAGCTTACCCTCAGAACCCACATCAAGTGAATGGAGATGTTCTGCAAAGTCAAAAGTCCAATCCTTATACCGCGGATCCGTGGTCAAAAAAGGGAACACTTAATAGAGGAAACTGCAAGCCTGACTGTTAGCTCGAGGGCAGCTCCGAGATGGATGTGTTAGTGTAAGTGTAGATTGCAATTATGCCAATAGCTTCCGATCTTAACACATCAAAGTACCACATGACCATCCAGCTTCCCCGTGATTGGCCACCGTTGTAGCAAGCAAGCGTTTGGTTAGCAACCACGTCTTGCTTTGCAAACTAGACAGTAGGGCTTATTTTCACATTAAAAAAATCTGGAATTCTTTATCAAATGGCATAATGGTCACTACCTGTGTCGAGTAGGACTTTCATAATGGGTGTTGGCTCTACGTTTCTCTCAGCTACCATCCACAACCTTGAAGGCTTGCCGACTACCTACTGCATGCAGCGCCTATCGATCTTTGCCTACTTTAGGCCAAAAAAAAGTCTCCGGTTTCTGGTATGCGCGCGCGTCGCCGTAGCCATGCGCGTCGGCAAAATGAAAAAGTTTTTTTTTCAATGAAAGATGATGTCTCAAAACCGCCAAACTCACTGGTTTGACTGGAATCCTGCTGCTGCACAATTTTAACGTGTTTTTAGATTGGGTTATGGTCGAGAATAAGCTTTATGTGGCCTCTCTGGACTCCCATATATTTGCACTAAGTTTAGTCGGGCACCATTTGGAGTCATAAGCCGACATTTGAAGCAAAAAAATCAGGTAAAAAAAAAAAAAAGCCGCGTCGCCGCACCACTTTTTGGGCAAGCTCCATACCAGAAACAGGAGACTTTTTTTGGGGGGGGGCTTAATGGCGATACTGACTTTCCGGCACCCGGATGGAGGCCAGGTCACGTGGGTCAGTGAGAGAGGTCAATAAAGAGAACAAAATTACCTCAGCTTCGTCATCTTGTTCATCATCTCCATCAAAGTGTTCCTTCTCTTCGACGTCGTTGTCATCATCGTCACCCCCACTGTCATCATGGTCATCGTCATCGTCACTTTCCTCATCAGAGAGGGCGCTCTCCTCGCTGTCAGTCATCTCCTCCTCCAGTTCCTCATCTTCACTGTCACCTTCCAGGTCGACGTCGTCATCGTCATCATCATCGTCATCCAGAGGGGCATCAACAAACAGGTCCTCCTGTAACAAACCATGGGACAAATATTAATCAAGACTGGTGTTATCTGAAAGACAAGACTAGTGTTATATGAATCTTAACAATGTAAATGTTACTCGATCTAATAACAACAACAGTCATGCTAGTAATATATTTTATTATAACCCGAGCCCAAGGCCTGGGTTTGAGAGTCTTTATCTTTTTTACAACTACATTTTGGGCATTCATTTGGTAAAAGTGTACTTTTATCTTAGCAAACTCCAAAAAAAAGTGACTGTTCCTACTGCTGTACTGGTATCATCGCGAACTATTTAGGTATTGAAACATTTAAGTGTGTTTTCAGTCTCTTAAAATTTCTGGAATGGGGTCCCCAGGGCCTATGTAGACTAAATTGTACACAACCGCTGAAGTGGCATCAGGTTGGCAACATTTTTTCCCTACCTTGTTTTAACTGTTGTGCTTATAGTATACATAATATACTGCTACATTTATATAATTTTTAAAATTATACAATTTTTGTTAGAGAATACTTTGAATTATATTTAGGCAGTGTATATTTTGCCGGAGACGGCAAACCTTTAGTAAACGTTAGTTTGCCGGATATGCACTGAACGGGTGTCGGACGCTTCGCCCCATTTCCACGTCGCCCCATGTCACTTCGCCCCTAACCACTTCGCCCCATCTCCACTTCGCCCCATCCCCACATCGCCCCATCTCCGCTTCGCCCCATCCCCACTTCGCCCCATCCCCGCTTCGCCCCATCCCCACTTCGCCCCATCCCCACTTCGCCCCATGTAGTATGCAAAAGGTGAAGGCTAGGGGTGCAGACCAAATAAACTGCCAAAGACCCCAGATAATAAATGCTCCCAATTCAGAGACACCTCTCCTATTGGCTTGTGAATAAAATCATCAGCCGATGGATTCAAAAGAATCCGTAGGTATGGGTCAGTGAAGGAACTCACTGCCTTGAGGAAAATGTTCCGTTCACTCTCCAAGAGTGAAATGAGGATGTATTGTCGACTTTTTTTGTCGTTCTCAGATAAGTGGGAGACGGGTTGGTATAGCCGGGTTGGGAACAAAGTTGGATCTTTTACTTCAAGCTTTTTTGTCGGTAGGGGAGAGCCTAGCTTGAGAGGTTGATTATGAATTGTTCATTTGGTGATGGGCTTATTCTTTCCGTTGGTTAGCAATGAGTGAATCTGTTGAAATTGTTTTTTTTTAAGCCAAAAAAATAGATGACATTTTTTTTTACATGTAACGGCTGGGGCGAAGTGGGGATGGGGCGAAGTGGGGATGGGGCGAAATAGGAATGGGGCGAAGTGGGAATGGGGCGAAGTGGGGATGGGGCGATTTGGGAATGGGGCGAAGTGGGGATGGGGCGAAGTGGTTAGGGGCGAAGTGGTTAGGGGCGAAGTGACATGGGGCGACGTGGAAATGGGGCGAAGTGTCCGACATTCGCACTGAACATGCGCAGTTACTGTTTTTTTGTACTTAAACATTTTCCGGTGACAAGTTTTAGTCTGGCTCCATGCCAAAATTATCGTTGTTACCTCGTATTCACAAGATGGGATTCTGACCATTTTATAAATTCGGACTTTATTTTCCTTTTAAAAAAAATCCTCCAGAGCCACAAATCTGAAAAAGAAAATGTAATAGTACTCTGCAAAAAATGTTTGAGACATGTTAAAATAATAAAAGAAGAATATTCTTATTTATTTGGGGATGAGAAAAAAAAACCTTTAAAATGTGGTGCAGTCGGAATCGAACGCGAGTCATCCCGCTTACTAGAGCCATTACTTAACCATTACACCAAACGTGCTACACAACTTTTGGTGGGAATTTAATACGTCTTATAATTCAGCCCTATTTTAAAGAGTACAGCGCCCTCTGTTGATATGATTGCCGCCGGCAAACCTTTAGTAATCGTTAGTTTGCCGTCATTACCTCCGGCAAAATATCCACTATCTTATATTTATAATGCACTCGACTCATGACATGAGCACTCTCCATAGACTTTGTACACAACCAAAGAAGTGGCGACTGGAAACTTAACTAGGCCTACACATTACCTCTTCCTTTTCGGTGATTTTAATTTCCTTTTCAAAAGGATTGGACTTTCTCTTCAGGCTTGTGGATGTATCTGCCATGCTTCAAAATTTGCCCCCGATTCTGTGAATGTGAAGAGTAGATGATCTAGAAAATGCGGTCGATGAACACACCGACGAAGACGAAACACGTTTTTCCAACCAGGAATCGGTTACCCTGTTGAACCAGAACTCCGTTTACAGCGACATTACGTCAGGGTACTTGACTAGCTTTCGGGTGATGCGATAGAGGGCGCTATTTCAATTTATTGCAGTGCTGGAAAAAAATAATGAGATGGAGCACTGATGTCTGTATCTGTATCTATTCAGTAAAGCATCCCAGGGGAGACATTACACCAACTTAGAGAGAAGATAATGAGAATAAATTACAGTTTTTAGAGGTGGGAGGAAAAGTCCAGAAGATATTCTGGGGAAAACCCATGGAATCAGGTAGGAACTGAAAACCCAATCCACATATTGACCCAGGCGGGATTCGAACCCGGGTCACAGCGGTGGAAGGCGAGGAAAGTACTGCTACGCCAACCTGACTCCCCATATATCATTAAGTTTTAAAGTTGCGTCGAGGAGATGTAAATTCAATATTGGGTTTTCCCCTTCACCAATTTATTGTTGTATTTGTAAACCTGTGTGCTTCGTGTTGTCCGAGGGCTTACTACAAAAATACAATCTTATTTTAACTTATAAAGCATACGTTGAAGAAAAATAAAATTAATATTGACTATGCGATATTCAAGATTTCGAATCACAAGTCAATAATTTCATAATAGTGGTGCGAGTGGTACAAAAACATGCTGAGCCACTTCACGTGCTTTCCCGGCCCGATTTGATAAAAGCCAAATATTTTGGTAACACCCCCCCCCCCCCTTTATTTTTTTTAAATCAGGGGCGGCGGAACTGGGGGCAGGCCCCCCCCCCCCCCCCACGCGGTTAATGTGCCCTTTCCAGATGAAAACAAAACTGCCCCTCAAACGCACACGTATAAAAGCGTTATGATCGCGCTAAAGAAAATTGTCTCCTCTCTTGTAACAAAAACACAAGTATACCACCGCACGAACAAGATTGTGCACCTTCTCGAGATGGAAAAGTACCCCTCGAAAGCACAAATACCCCTCTCGCAATAATATAATTGTGCTCCTCTCCAAATTGTAAAACTTTTAGTTGGCAATCAAAAACAATAGTTCTATAGCTCTATCCTCCTCTCGCGAAAACTTCTCGAGATGGAAAACTGCCCCTCGAAAGCACAATCAGTGCCCCTCTCAAGATGGAAAACTGGCACTAAAAATAATAGTGCTCTTCCCGCGAAATCATGGGTCACGGAACCACTGAACTAGCCACCAAAAGCAACTTAACAGTGCCCCTATCACGATAAAGGAAATACAATTAGCAAGATGGACAACGTATTCATAAGGTTCCTCGTCGCGCGTCATATAAGTTAATTAATAGCGAAATGAACGGGACCGTTTTCTTTTCCTCCACTTTCACACCGACGGAAGGTGCCCTTTGGAAGTGCCCTTTTTTGGTGTTGCCCCCCCCCCCCCCCCCCCCCAGTTTGAAAAGCGTTCCGCCGCCCCTGATAACTACTGTTGATGCAGGTTGAAAATAATTGTGCGGAGTGTGAAAAATTAATTATCAAGGCCCGCGCTGGTTGCATTGTGGCGCTAAGTTAAGGCCACCTGTGAGGCCGGCCCGCCAGGTGCTATTTTGCGACCTACCCGTGCGTTGGACACCTTACAAGGTGTGAAGTCGTGAGAAGGTCCACGAAGAGGAAGTTTGCCAGCCAGCTTTACTAGAATAATTATTGTGTGCCACAAAATGTCACTCCGAGTTACGGAGGGCGAAAGGCTTACCCAAATGGTAGTGGTATCTTGTATCACGTTCTTTGTGTGGCGAAAAATTGATCGAAATAATTTCTAGTTTGAAAAAGCAAATGGTCAATCGGAAACTGAGAGAAAAGCCGCACAGGACTCCGTCAAAACTTTCAAATGTTCACATTGCAATATGCCCGGAATCTAATGCACAGTATAGTATGGCTACCGAACCTTTTTAAAATAAGAAAAAAAATAATGCAGTTATCCAAATCAGTTAAATAGGATAATGGATTGGATGGAATGACTCTCAATTATATTACGGAACTCCCAACGACTACCAATAAACCTAGCGCTCAAATCCAAAAGGATTGCAGCTATTTTTAGAAACTTCTTACGAGGCAATTTCTCTTAATAGCATATTTCATACGGTTGTGTGATGAGCCTGTTTTCCCATGCCAAGAGCAATTTGCTAAACTATTCCAAACAGCGCCCTCTTTTGTTTACCTGCGCCTTTCAATAACTCTCTTTAATTCCGGCTTCGGTTCAGGCTCAAGAGTCATAGTTTTACTAGGGCAGGCCTCTGACTGGGGGGGGGGGGGGGGGGGGGGGAGGGGTGCTCCGGGTCCATTTTCTGCTTCTTCAACATCAACCAATGAGGTTTTTTAGAGAATAATTTTCATTGGGTTGAAACGAGGCTTGTTCTGAATAATTTCAGACAGAGATGATGGTAAACTACAACGGAGCTGAAGTTTAGAAAATGGCAGAACAAGTTCGAGATGGCACTGTGAATCTCCGAGTCCTCACTACGCTCCAAGACGGAAATCAGGTCTCCTAACTATGGAATGAATCCATAACTTGCTTCTGCAATATACTTTGAGAATGCAAAATGCATGAAAGTAAAAATAAGTTGAAGATTTGAGGTCATCATTCCAGTGAAGAACACTCCAGTTTCGTTTCCTCTTTTTTTTTTCTTCTCTTGTGCAACAAAATGCCTGTGAATACAATTCCTGAATGATTTGCACTTCTGTAGTGCACGTGATTGACTGGTTGGTATGGTTTCACTTCATTGACGATGTTTTGTAGCTATCTACTTACCATTTGATTTCGCAATGTCGACTACGACTTCCTTGTGGACGCAGTGGTGCGTGGGTGTTGATTCCGCAGTATTTGCACGAATGCCATTGACATCCGTTTTCATTTACCACTATTTTGTCACATGCTATTTCGTAATTAAACGATGGGTTTTCCCACCATGGCTAGGCTACGTCACCTCTGACAGTGGACAAACTGTAAAATCAAAAACCTTCAATTCAATGGCGTAAATCCGTGTTAGAATTGTTTTGTTACTCACCACAAAAGTCGGGGTGGGGGGGGGGGGCGGGGGGCGTGATCCAATATTAACTCATCCTTCCTGATCAATAAAATGGGGGGGGGGAATATCCTCCCCATCCCCTGTCCCCCCCCCCCCCCCCGGATTTACGCCCATGCTTCAATTACTATGAAAGGCCAACGGGGGAATTTTACCTCAGACCCAGAATTTCAGTCCCGGAATATCGCGTTTAGATAAAGCGACTTCTCAAGTTTCTGGGTAATCTATATCGTTTAATTTTTTGTTTTTGTTATTAAAAAGCTTCTTTTCTTCTTTGAAGTCTATGCAATTAGTGCATGTGCGCGTGCGCATTGCTCAATTGAATGAATACAAATTCAACGCAGGGCTAAACTAAGCCCAATACACCGTCCTTATTTAATTGCATTGTCAAGTTTACGTTGCGGTTGAGTTTCACAAAATGCACCACACCGGAACACAACCCGGATTTACGAGTTCCCCTTTGATGCCCGAGTACATGATTTGCACGCGAGATGTAAAATTGGAGAATCAATATTATTTTGTTTCATTGGTGTGCCATTATTACTCCGTTACAGTCTATTCTTCCTACATGCATAAACATTACAGGAAATAATAAAGTGGATCCTTATTCCTGGATCACCTTCATTATTTCCCGTAATTCTGTATGTAGTTTTGTATGACAAACCAATGATAAAAAAAATAATATTTCCAAAGTTGTTTCGCGGTCTCAGAATTCTTGATATCTCTGAAAGTTGCAGACCCCATACCCCGAGGACTCATTTATAACTGTCAACCGTACATATCAAAAGTCAACAACTTCGGCAAACATACTCGAAATGTTACAGCGTGTAGCCACCGTATTGCGTCGATCACCACTCACAATCACACGTCCTTATCAAAATTGAACAAGTTTGCAGCTTTTTTTTCTCCCGTTATCAATGGAACCGACTGTTGGCTCTGTGATAAGATTATAGCTTTGTGATAACCACTTGTGATTTTTTTTTGCCGATACCGGTTACAACTGTTTTGTTTGATTATGTTTGGTAGTTGGAGGTGTGACAGTACTTACAGTGAGGTCTTTTATAGGCTGGCTTCATAAAATTCGTACATAAAAATGGGCGACTTTTTTTAATCCCTTCATGAATGGGATGTTTTTTTTTTCTAAAGTCCTTTTTTTTTTTTTTTTTTTTTTTAATATTTGAATAATCTGTTCGATTAAAATTTACAGGCATTTGTTTAACGGCTTTGTCTTACTTCTGAATCATTATATTCTTGCCCACCCTGTTCCCGCCCTTTTGGATCCACCCATGTTGCCCGGGTGCATTTTTTATATGCAGCCAACTATATAGTGAATGACCATAATGCGCATGCGTGAAGCATCACGAGAACAACTAAATATGTTACTGATTCGGTATAAGTTCTTATTCCACGACGATCAGCGTGGTCTCGCTGTGGCGTGTGCGTTAAATCGCTGAAAATGCGGGAGGTTCCAGGTTCAATCCCTGGGGGGAATTTTAGATTTTCATTTTTTTTCCAAAAGCTAAATTTATTCCCTTTAATCGACTCCTGATATGATCGATAAAATGAAATTCAATGCTCTGGAGGATTTTTTTAAAGGGAAGTTAAGTCTGAGAGCACGCGCATTATGCATCATTGACTATACTTGGTTGCAAAACAAATAATTGCGGCCAGGGTGGGATTAGGAAGACAAAATACATGCATTCATCATGCACAGTCAAAGAAAAGTCTACAGGGTGAGTAAAAAAACCGAAACCAAAATGTCGGGACTATTGTTTTAGAGAAGTTCTGCATGTAGCATTTTTTACTCGCCCTGTATATCTAAACATTTCCCCGTTGTGCACAGCGCTGTCTGTCACAGTCTGTCTGTGTTTAGTCAGAGCAATGAGCATTACTTCAGTGACATAAAGTGATGTAGGAGCCGCCACACAGGGCCGCCACACAGTCATATGAATAATGTACATGTACATGTACATCCATTATTTATTACACGACG